TCACGGGTTGAGATAAAAACTATTTACTCATCAAAATAAAATGGTAATAATTTTTATCAACATTCTTCCCATAACAAGTCCCACAATGAAACTAGAGCACAGCTATTCTCACTACTAAGAGGGAAATTATCCTAGTGAAACCAGATAGACAGCCATTTAGCTACTTCCTTGCCTAAAATTGTGGGGGGTTTTTTTAATGTCCTGGAGTTGCGCAGTTGCAAGGCAGCAGCGTTCCTGCCCTGCGCTGGGGTGGTGACAGAGAGGTTGGCACCACACAGCCCCATCGGCGCGGGCCGGGGCAGGAGCTCGCTGTGGACTGCAGAGCTTCCTGAACCAGCTGTGGAACGGTGCAAAATGCATCTTTTTGCCTTATGTTTTTACATACCTAAGCATGTGTGCGCTCAGACCTGAGCAGAGGTTTCTGGTACTCGCTTTGGCCTCTTGTGTTTGCAGGTGCACATTTTGAATTCAGGGAATTGTGGCACCTGCTGTCACTGAACTATGAGTTTATTGCAGTTACAGACTGTGCTTAGGTAGCAGAATAAATGTGAGTCATTATGGTGGTTTCACTTGGCCAGCACCCAAACGCAGCCACTCACTCGCTCTTCCCACCCCCCTACAGGGAATAGGGGAGAGAGTTGGAGGGGTAAGGGTAAGGAGACTCTTAGGTTGAAATAAGAACAATTTAATAACTGAAATAATAGAAAAGTTAATATAGTAATGATAATAGTAATAATAAAATATGCAAATGAGTGATACACAGTGCAATTACTCACCAGTTGCTGACCAAGCCCAGCCTGTTCTCAGATAACAATCTGGAGAAGCAACAATTCTGAAAACGTAATCCTAGAAGAGTGAGAGCCCAAGCGAGAGCTAGAGAGACCCTCATTAATGTACTGAACATGATGTTGTGTGATATGGTGTATCCCATTGGCATATCCAAATGCCAGTTTAGTGTGTTAATTTAAATATTCTTTCCCCCCACCCGACCTTGCACACGGAGATTAGCAAAACGCAAAGTCCTTCGCCTTCCAGTGACAACTGAAAACACTGGTATGTTATCAGAGTTCTTCTCATAACAAATCCCAGGCTGAAACCAAAACACTATTCTAGCTACGAAGCTCTGTCCCAGCCAAAAATGAGGGCAGTACTGTGGTCTGCGAATAAAGACAGTAAAGGAACTGCCATGGATTAGACAGGGAGTTTGGAAGCAGGGGAGGTGTTCCCAGGGGACTAATTATTAATGTCTTAAAAGTGTTTCATAGTGTTGTGTGCTCTGTCAAAGTGAATGGATAAACATGATACTGAAATGACAGAAGCCAAGTAGTTGTAGTTGTCTGTTATGATTGTGATGGTGTTGGGTTAATGCTGATGTTTTTCCAAAATCTACCAAACACATGCAAGAGAACAGGGAAAAATTAAAACTTTAGGGAAACAGGAAAAGAGGAAAGACATAATAATGGAAGGAAACAAAAAAGTCCCCTTGTTCAGAGAAAATGGCCACTGACATTAAAAGTGCCATAAGGTCTTTTTTTGTCTGTAGAGATTACCTTAAATTCAAGGAGAATATCAGAGGCTCCCATATTTCAAGATCAGATTTACTGATCAAGAATTACACACATGACATTTTATCGTTTTGAGTTAATTGTCATTGTGGTGATACAGACTTAATTTGACATTTGATAAGGATGCCTATGTTTCCAACATAATAATTTGTTGAATACATAGCAGTGTGGTTTTAAATCTGTTTAAACAGATTGACTTAATTCAGTATTTCAATCCACATAAGTGTATCAATGCAGACACTAAAATTTCACCTGCCATAAAATATGAATTTCACGTTGCTTCTGCAGTGTGTTTAGCAGCAGATTTTTGTGTATTTTGTGATTGTTGGAATCATAGAATCATAGAATGGTTTGGGTTGGAAGGGACCTTAAAGATCACCTAGTTCCAACCCCCCCTGCCATCAGCAGGGACACCTTCCACTAGACCAGGTTGCTCAAAGCATCATCCAGCCTGGCCTGGAACACTTCCAGGGAGGGGGCAGCCACAGCTTCTCTGGGCAACCTGTTCCAGTGTCTGACCACCCTCACAGGGAAGAACTTCTTCCTAATATCTAATCTAAACCTGCCCTCTTCCAGTTTAAAGCCATTACCCCTTGTTCTATCACTCCCTGCCCTTATGAAAAGTCCCTCCCCAGCTCTCTTGTAGGCCCCTTCAGGTACTGGAAGGCTGCTATAGGGTCTCCCCGAAGCCTTCTCTTCTCCAGGCTGAACAGCCCCAACTCTCTCAGCCTGTCCTTATAGGAGAGGTGCTCCAGCCCTCGGATCATACTTGTGGCCTCCTCTGGACTTGTTCTAGCTGCTCCAGGTCTCTCTTGTGATGGGGAAGTTTGATATTTTTTGTGGATTTTGGCATAATTTTTGCACTAAAAATACTACATGTTCTATCTGTTAAGACTTGAAATTAAGTCTTTAGTAGAGGTAATGTACAGAAGTTGATTGTTGTGGGTTGCCAAAGTGTATTTTCCTAACTTTGGGTACGTTTTTCTCATATAAATCAAATGTGAAGGCTGTGACGTTTGCTAACACGTGAAGTGGTAAATTCAGGTACTGGAAGGCTGCTATAGGGTCTCCCCGAAGCCTTCTCTTCTCCAGGCTGACCAGCCCCAACTCTCTCAGCCTGTCCTTATAGGAGAGGTGCTCCAGCCCTCGGATCATCCTTGTGGCCTCCTCTGGACTTGTTCTAGCTGCTCCAGGTCTCTCTTGTGATGGGGAAGTTTGATATTTTTTGTGGATTTTGGCATAATTTTTGCACTAAAAATACTACATGTTCTATCTGTGACGTTTGCTAACACGTGAAGTGGTAAATATATGTGAGTGGTAGAATCAGGAACTGGTGCTTTTGTCTGGCCTAAATTCCCTGGGTTTTCGGGTGCTTGACTAATAGCACTATACTTTCTTTGAACTTCATTGTGCAGCCTTGATCAGTGGGCTAAAGAGCCTGGCTCCTTTACAGTCCCTCCTGAAGAGTCCCACTTGTTGAAAGAGGCAAGGTAATATCTAGAACATGTAAAGGAGTTGCAGCATGCTTGTCTTAACTCATTTTCCTGCCTGTAAAATGAGGAAAGTTCAGTGTCTAGATAGGTCAAGTGCTCATTGCTGTAGTATTTGGATGTTTCACATTTCCGAAGCACTCGGATGCTGCCTTCGTGGAGACCATGTTACTGTCAAGAATATTCATGCTTGCATTGGGTTGCTTCTACATTCAGAACTTTGGTAGTTCTAAAATACTTTCAGTACCTTTGTTTGTGGCTATTTGGAAAAAAATATCGCTTAGTTTGATTTCAGCATTCAGTGGATACAGTGCAATTAGCCTGTCAGTATTCTGCGTCTTCATAGTGCTGAATTGCTAAGATCTTAATTTTAGAAAAGGTTCTCCTTGTCTTCATGGCTATATCTAGCTTTCCATACTTTTGCATGTGTAAGAATTTTTCTAGAAGGAGATTTATCCTCTGTGTTTTAGCTGCAAGCATGCCCTATGAGTTTCACAAGCCCATGGAGTCAGAACATTTTAGAACCAGTATTTATTTTTATTAACTGTACAGTTTTTATGTTCTTGAAGTATTACTCTGATTTGCCCTTTAAAGGCAAAAATATGTAGTAGTTCTTGGAGCCTTGTTAGTCAAAATAAAAGACTTACTTGCCAACACAATCAATTATGAACTTTAAAAGCAGCTGGTTGCTGAGTTGTATTGAAGCCCGTGTCGTATTGAGTAATGTCTTGATGGAGATATGACTGTATCTGGTGTTTAAGGGAGAGCTACTAAGAAGCAGGAAAGGAAGTTTACAAGCAGAGAAGTTAACTGGAGATGCATACTCACTAAAATCAACAGTAATGCATAATTGTGTGAAAAAACTGCTTTAAACTTTTCTTGTAATTGAAATGCAGCCTATTAAATTGAGGAGTTTATAGACGTCTTTAATTAGAGCATTTTATATGGAGTAAAATGACATAAATATGGTTTATTGTGACCTTTGTTGTAAACCATGACCTTTGATATCCTGACCTTTGCTTTAAAAAGACAGAAAAAAACCCAACCTGCTACAGGTTTTCTGCTGTAATTCTCAAATCAATAATTGCTTCTTTTTTTTTTAATATACAGAATGTCAGTGGCTGCTTACTGTATATTTTCCTATAGACAAATAGGAACTTCTGGTCCAGCCACAAAAACACACCTACCATGGAATGATATCAGTAAGTACAGTTCTGTAGGTATTGATCTGACATGTTAATAAAAAGGGAAAATCTGTGTTGGTGTGATGCCATGCATAATTAAATGATGCAGAAGATCTATATCCCCGAATACTGTGTGATCAAAAACTTTTATTTTCCTAAAGTGCACATCTGCTTCTGACCTTGCTTTGCCTAGTGATGTGTCAAATGACACCAGCAGATTATCTGGGATTAGAACACAAGATGAAGGTTGTCCCCCCTGCCAGATGCCATCTCATTTAATTATCTTGAACTCTGTTTTGTATCTGCTTTTTTTTTTCCTAACTTCTAGAGCCATGAAACAATTACATCCATAAAGTTTGAATAAAGTTCATTTCTATTGTTTCTTTCTCCTTATTTACTGATATTAGCTCTGCAGTCTTCCCTGCTTAGTTGGTGCTTTCTCTGGTGCCTTCTGTATAGAATGACAGTTCTTATGATTTCAATGTTTAATTTTAAGCATTAAAAGATAGGATATTTCCATTTCTGCTCTTCAGGAAGCATTGCAATTTTTTACCTCTCAGCCTTCTCTGCCAGTTATTTCTTTGACGTGTATGTGTCTCTTGTCTGCATGCCAAAATCCTTATGGTCTCACAAAGACAGAACTTGGTGGCGGTGGTTGTGGGGCAAATCTCTCAGTTCATGCTGAGGAAAATAAATTATTCATGATAGGTGAGATGTGTTCCATTGGATTTGCTGCTACTGGGAATAATAGTTTCTCTGTATTGAGATCCTTACATCCAGGTAATCAGCTCAGCTTTGTCCAGGCAAAATATCTCAAATCTGACAGGAATTAAACTTAAAAGGGAAATTGTTGCAAGTGTCCTATTTATGCAGCTTTTTACTTTATAAATTAGACTCAATGGAATTATTTTTAAAAATATATTTTCTTAGGGAGACTCTGCAGGACTTTTCAAAGAACATACATCCTCCTATATATATTAATAAACATTGAAGAAATACCCACACCATGTAAGAAAAAGTTAACTCCTTAAAATAATTGAGAGTTCCAAATGAATGCTAATGATATAGGCAGAGGAAGTTTACTGTTGATTCCTGCAGATGAGCAATGAATATAATTGATAGGTAGCAATACTCAAAGTAAATAGCACTGGCAGGATACGTGTTTTATCATCTTGTGTAGGAGAGCAGGAAATTCTAATCAAGTAAAGTTTTCTCCATTTGTAAATTTAGGTACTGGTTTCCTGAAAGCCAGAGAGCAATAGAATAATTTTTAAGAGCTTATTCTTAATGGCTGACATTCTTACTGTCTGGTAATCACATGCTATCTGTGTTTATATTGAGGTGATACAAACAACTTTGACCTGAATTTTTCATTTTTTTTAAGGAAAAATTGCAAAGGTAACTGGATCACTTATACTAGGGTAAGTTGTAACTGACAAGCATATATGTAACTTATATATACAGTTAAAAATTTAATTCATGGATCTTCCAAAAAATGTGATAATATTAGGGGACCTTTAGACATGGTAGAATATAGTTTTGAAGCATATTTTCTGGTATTTATTACTTGTTTTCAGTATTTTAGAATCTTTTCTCTACTTTGCTAAATTAAAATAATCTGTGGAGTATTATATATTTGGTAGAATCTGGATGATTTATACCAAAATGATTGTTAACATATTTTTGCCATAATATTTTTAATTAATATTCATATGCTGTTTTCTTTTATTTAAAGAGGTTTTGTATTCATTACATATGAAATCCTGTCCTTAAAGAAGTTACTGCAAATTGATACTCAAGCTATACATCAAGAAAAACTTAAATCTTATGTATATGTACGAACAAGTTCTCTAAATCCAAGTGAATATCAAGGTAAGATGCATAATTATTTGGATTCTAAAACCAGAATTTTAATATAATAGAATGTTTCTGGAAGTCACCCTTATATAAAGGAAGTTATAATTCCTGAGATCTGTTACGAAAATAATGTTCTTCACAATGTCACTGAATTTATTTTAAGTTGGTGGCTGTATTTTTAAGATAGATCTATACATACATATGAGATAATTCTCTCTATATATGTCCATACATATATATGTGTGTGTGTGTGTATATATATATATATTTTCATATATGTAGATATGAAAAATAATGTGACAGAACTATCTTTCAGACTTCCAGTAATCTTAAAAAAATTCTTGTAGGGATCACATACCAAGCCAGAAAAGAAATCCATAAAGCAGTGAGGAAAATTCTAGAAACAGAAGCTAAAATTTTCCGGAGACCTTTTAATGGTAGGTTTTGAAAGCATGGCTTTATCTATCATTACTATTTTTGCATAGTAAAAAAATAGGCCTTTTAGAAAGTAAAATAATTTTTCTTACAACTTGATATTTTATGTTTGAAATGGTGGTAGTATTACTTATAATTTTCTATATTAATATAGAATATTAGTATATTTTCTGTGTATTAAAATCATTCCTTTTCTTAAAGTAAATGAATGGTGGTTAAGAAGATATCTGAGATTTTTTTTCAGAAGAGATTTGAAGATTAAGATACCAGGTTAATATTTGATGCCAGTTTCTGTACAAAAGGTGTTTGAAGGATGAAATACTCTCAAAATTTCATTTTAGAAAAGTATGATGTGTTTTCTTCAGAATTGCCAATATTAATGGAAAGCAGCACAGACTTTTTGTAACAAGGTGCCACTGCTTTTTAGAGTAATTAAAAAAATTTAAAGAATTTCAGTTTATATAAGAATTGTGCTCCTGAGGCATACTATCTATTTTCATTTAACTATCTGTTATAACGATCTGTACCTCCACTGTTGTGCTATGAAATTAATTGTTCAACATCAGAGCTTCAGGAGTTGCTAATTGTTTCCATCTGCTGGAAGGTGGCCATTCAGGTTGGTAAGTGCCAGCCAGGGGTTGTGTGTGCAACATATATATATATGAAATATCAACTTGATGCCACTAAAATGAATCAAAACCATCCTGTTAATTTAAAGATCAGCATTTTACTGATGTCATTCTGTGATTGTTTATTGTACTAATTTAATATTAAAACATTACACTCTAAATTACTGTTAACAACTAATATTCAAATATTAAAAGAAACAGATTTTTTTTTACTCAACAAATTAAAACGCTCATTAATAGTAATTTGGGTTGTATTTGTCTTCTGGTAAAAGAACAATTCAGTACATTTGATGGAGAAGATCATGAATGTGCCTTATGGCTCCTCTTGAAGAGAAGTCAGTCAGAAGACAAAGAGGTCCGACTGCAGGCTGTACAAGACCTGGCAAACAACCGTCACTGGCATGGTAACGTACACTGATGTAGCCTAATTTGTCCCAGAAGTGTGGCAAAGTCTCAGTTAGCTGTTCCAAGTTTGCTGCCAACAGGAAAAAAAGCTAGTAGCTGCAGAGGGGTAAATACCCTCTGAAATTTGGTCTGAAATGGGGGGGGTATTTCCATTTCAAGCAATTGTTCTTTCCTAATACCCTAATACAGACTGAAGCTTTGTGTACTCATTTAATATAACTGTTTCGTGTTTGTAGGAGAATACTGTCTGTTAGCAGAGGATCTCAGGATCTCAGTGCACAAGATGGCCAGTACTCAGGAATCCGTTTGCTTTTTGTTATCTCCTTTTCTCTGTAGTGCTCATTGCTGTAGTATTTGGATGTTTCACAAACAACTGATTATTCCTGCCAACTACCTCATGAGGAAAACGGGCTTTTTTTAACCTGATATTCCAAAACTGAGTCCAGGAAAGGTTAATACTGAAAGTATGTGCTAACTCTTCACAGCTAGGACCAAATTATTCAGCATACCGTATTCAGCATTTATGATATTATTTATCGTAAATACAGTATTTCGCTTGTCCAAAGCACGACTTCAGTGACTCCAGTTTGCAGCTGTAAGTGATCTGCACCAAAGAAAAAATGTGGCCCATCTGTGACTGTTTGTGAAAAGTGTATTTTAAATGGCTTGTCAGTTTTGTCTAAATTGTATAACAGTAACAAGGATAGAAACAAATTTTTATAGAAAAGAGTATTGCTTCCCTTTAAGGTTACATTTTCTTTTCATTCAGCTTACCACTGAATTTTCAGTTTCTCCAGCTATAAACTAGATAGGTTTTGGAAAGGAACAGTAATTACTGTTTAAATCTGGTTTCCCTGCAGTAGAGTAACTGAAAGTCCGTCTTGTGCCTTCAGTAAGGAAGGGCTGTTTAAAACTCTACTGTGGTGCTATCCTGCCTTTTCTAAGGTCACCTGATTTTGTGACATTGACAATTTTATCAACATACACCTTTTGTATAACTTAAAATTAGGTAACTGTGTCTTTGTAGCATTTGGATTTAAGGCTCTGGGTTTTAATACTGTACGCAGAAAAAAGTATGCAAGATGCCTTTCAAGTTGTAACTCAAGCCCAGGGGTTTCAGCTTGGGTTTGTAGTCCTTGTATTCCTTTCACAGTGGCAATACTGAATATTTGTTTTTGCTTGTGCTCAGTTTGTATCTGAGGACCTTTATCAAACTGGTCTATAGGTGTATTTCAGCTCAGTATAGTGCTGATCTAACATGTGCAATTTTTATCTTTCACAAATTGTGGTTACAAAATCAGATTATTTAAGTAGATTGCGGGGAGGTGGTTCTTTTTTCCAGTATGTTTACAAAGTAGATCAGAAACTGCATTTAAAACCAAATTAAATATTTAAGGTTAGTGTTAAGCCTAACACTGAAGTTCATGTACTACAGATTATCAGTATGGTACAGTTGCCCAAACCTGTGATCAAAGGACTGCAATAGGTTTGGCTCGATCCAAAGATATCGACCTTCGCTTTTTCCTGCCTCCACCACCGCTGCCGAAAATAAAGAATGTAAGTAAATGAAGAGTAGGTATTGGTGATTTTTGCTTGCTTGCTTGCTTGCTTGCTTGTTTTTAGTGCTTTTGCTGTTGGTAACCATACTAAGGTGGAGTTCTAAAGTAACTAACGAGTAGTAAAATGAAGACCAAAATGCAAGACTCTGATATAGTGATATACACCCCGGGATATATCTGCATTAGTGAGTGGCATGATAGAAAGAAGTAAGGGTGAGAGTGTTGATCAATTACTGTTCTCGGACTGCACGTCCACGTTACATATTTACCAGCAGTGAAGTCTGAGCCAGTTACCAGTCTGACACACACACTGGCTGTACCTAATACGCAACGTGAAGCAGTCTTAATGTACATCAAGTCATCCTGGAGTGCCTTGTTGATACTGACAGAATCCTATATGTAGAGAGCACTCCTAGAGGCCTTTGCATCCTCACTGCTAGCATGGTGCTCTGCTGTACACCCACCTCTATTGACAGCTTTTAGGTACCAGCAAATGCATATTGGATAGATTTGGCTTCAATTTATTTTTATGTTAATTAGTAAGTATGTGTATATATATGTGTATGTATATGTATATGTATAGGGTAGTTTGAGCAGTCATGTCATCATATCAGCTTCTTCAATAAGCAGATTTGGCACACAAAGCATAATATAAAAGGGCTTTTGTAATGCTAATAGAATGAAAGTTGGCAGAAGTCCCTGTCAGAGAATACTTGTATATCTTAACCAACATAACTCTGAAAAACAGCTCTGATTGGTAGCAATATTCTCAGTTTTTGCTTTCTTATCTTTGTAACATTACATGATAGTGGATCAGTATCTGTCAGTTCTGAAGTACTGGGTTATTCTAGTATATGGTTGTGTATATACTTTACTTTTACAGCAGTGTGATTGCTAGGTGATATATCTGAGGATATATATTGGAAGCTAAGAATTCCCAATCTGCTGAAGTTGAAGGAAATTGAAGGAAATAATTGTGGCAGCAAGTGTTACTCTGCATATCAGATATGTCTCCATCTCTGATTGTAGCAAGGATTATAATAACTACAAGTTCTGTGACTGTGGGACCTATTAGAATAAGGCCACCGAAGTATGAAGTTTAAAGCTTGCTTTTCATCACTCAGTTGGTGATTTTAGAATTACTAGTTTCCAAAATCTTTACAGGTGTAACTATTTAAACCAAAGTTGCAGAGCCCTCAAGTCCAGCGTTTGTATTTTATGTATTAGTATGTCTGATTCCATTATTTCAGATCTTTCTTTTCTCTGTGTTTTGCTTCATGCTTTGACCAGAAGTGAAAGCTGTTTGTGCTTACTCCTCACAGGATTATCCCATAGAAGATGAACTTCGCTTGTTGTTAATATCTTTACCTCAGACTGGTCTTGATCCGTGTGTCCAGTACTTCACATCTCTTGCTTTACGTGAAAGTAGTCAGACTCTTGCTGCACAAAGGGTGAGTTCCCACCTGCAGAACAGAACTATTTGGGTTCTTTGTTGCTGCAGAGCTCAAAGATACAAACCTATTTCCATGTTTTTGAGCATTATAAGCAGAAGAGAAATACAGAGACTTTGTGACTGTACATCATAAGTAAAATCTCTTCTACATACAGTCTGTCGGCTTGAAAGCTTGTTATCTTTCCCAGCTTTTCTCGTTGGTCTAGTGAAAGATTATATCTTTACTTACAAGCCTTCCCATAAAGCAGATATTTCAACATTTTGTCCTAAACACTTTCTTCCCCTCACAGTGCTCCTAAAATGATTTTTCACATTTTATCTTACCATTGGTTGAGTATTCTTTTATTGCTGAAATGATTAAAACTCTGTTAAGTCTCACTTGCAAACTGGTAAGTTGTTAGCACACCTAAAATAGTAAACTCTGTTATATCGCATGGGAATGCCTCCCTGTAACAAGTCACTCTTGCCAAAACCAGAATGGGAATAGTCTGGTGGTCTGTCAGGACTTGGAAACTAGGAATTCTTCAAATTTGTCCAACAATTTCCTAAGTGGCTTTAGAAACGTCATTTAAAGTGCCGTTATTGCTTAAAAATAGTAATTGTAATGCCAGTGTCATCCATTCTCTCTTGTGCATTTTATTTTTTTATTAAAAACTTGTAACTTTTAAAATAGGTGATTATTATTTTTTATAAGATACAATAACAAAAATTACTGTCGTATTTTAATAATGATGCCTATCAGGCTTTGTTCAGAGATTTCAGAGCACAATAACTCTTTGTTTCCTATGATACAGTTATGTGTAATATTTTTACACTATCATTCCTTTATTGTTTTCACAACCAGAGCTCTTGCTACCAGGGGAGCTTTGGTAAGACACCACACTTGGAGGTATTTTGATAATCATGCTGTTCTAGAAAACTGTTTTTTATGGAGGTTATGCTGGTCTTCTGACTGCATGATTGAGAGAGGCTGGGCTTCAGAGACCGTGCTATGTGTTGAAGACCTTTTTTCCTCCTGATCTCTGCAACTATGGAAATTTAGATGCAGTCTGATTTTTACTTTTTTATGCTTAAGCAAACAATCTTAGAAGACATTCATTAACAAAATGAAAAGCCTACATTGTCTCCCTTTATTGTATGTTTTGAGGTTAATAGACTAGGGAGAGTATTGACTGAAAATCTAGTTAATATTTTCAGTTAAAAACAGTAGATATTTTAGTGGTGACTGTTGTGTAATTTGTACATTTTGAAAAGTGCATGCATGCTGTGCATTCTTTATAGCAATTTTTATAGATCATTACACACTTCAAGTTTTAATTTAGAAATGCTTATTTTATGTAGCCATTTCGAATGTGGTGTAATTTTTACTGATTCTCATTTCAGGGAGGCTTATGGTGTTTTGGAGGAAATGGACTTCCATATTGTGAGACATTGAGTAAAATCCCTTCAGAGACGGTGGAACTCTTTTGCTTGCAAGCTTTAGTGCAGCATTCTAAGGTAATTTGTCCTTTAAACTATAACTGAAAAGCTACATTTATAAACATTCCTTTCTAATGCTCTCTCATATATTGAGGAAGGTCTTAGCATTTCCTTGTCTCTTACCCCTCACCCCTTCTGTAAAGATGTTCAGACAACTGAGACTGATGTGAATTGAAAGGCAGCATAATAAACCATTTGGTTTTTTTCCATGGGAAGTGTATGTAAGTTCTGTTATTGTTTCTCATTAGCCTGTGTAAGTTCCCCTGTGGTATGCCTGTATGTACCTTTCAAGAAGTAAAAGGCAGCTCAGATGTGGAAAAGCAGGAGAGAATGCCTGAAGTCTGAATGGCTTTAACAAACCTTTTCTGTGTAAGGCTACCTCCCACTGACACTCAAGGTCACTGGAGATAGATACCGTGAGGTATCAAACGGTCTTTCTACTCTACAGCTTCTCAGTAAGCAAGATAACTGGTGATGTGAAATTCTCGGAGGAAAGTATGTGTGGATTTGTGTGAGTTGGTGTATATCAGTTCAGAAAGCTTACAAGTGGTCTCTTCTTACAGCTCTTAATCTAACTCTAGTGCCAGGTTTCCAGAAAGCAAAGTAGCCTCATGAAGTCACTGTAATCAGAAGCCAGAATGGGATGTAAACCTTGGCTATTCACAAAGGCCCCTCCTTCAAGGGTCACTGCCTTTGGGCAGAATATTGCACAGCATGCAGCTAATACAGTGCATCTTCCCAGGGCCAGTGTCTGTTCTTTGCAGACACAGATGAAGAGTATGGAAGACTTTGTGTAACAGTGATTCTTGTTTCCTATTGCTGCACCCTTCTGTGTGCACGTAATTGCTCAGGAGCCTAGAGCACTGAGAGACAGTGTTGAGAATACCAAATTGTTACTGGTGGTAGGAATGGATAAAGTTTACCAGTATTCCTTTAATATCTTCCATGTAGTTAGGAATTCTGACTTAATCTAGAATTTGTTATATTCCAGATTTTCAGTTTTACAGGTTGTGACTGTACTCATTCTGAATGTGTGTCTGTCTTTGTTGAAAGCCACAGACTTGAGGACATCAGCAGTTCCATAACTACCACACATTTTTAAGCACTGTAGTCAACATGTACAGGTCATGAGCATTTGGCCAATATCAATAGTTGACACTACAACTAATTAGTGCATACTCATCTGCTTGGACTGGAATCTATTATTGCCCTTAAGATCAATAATGGTAGCAGTACTATTTGGAATGTAGAAATACGTTTGCATTTCAAGGAGAAGGGATTATAATTCCTGCATTTGAGGTGGTGAACAGGAGGACAGGTAGCTCTGATTGAGATAGTGCCTTAACAAATGCAGACAGTTGTCCTGATCACACTCTTGAATTTTAGTTGAAATTTCATCACACCAAGTGGAGAGCAATCGCATCTCCCTAAGATGTGGAAGAGAGTAGAGCGATGGTACTCAGCGTCTTTGAGGCTGTCAATCTGTAGAAATCATGCATTTAGCATATTAAAATATTTACTTCCTCTTCAACTATGGCATAATAATCTCTAGATTAGTAAGAATTTCTAGGTAATAAGGGCTCTGCATCATACCAGCTCCTTAAAATTCCCTGATTTGTGAATGAACAGCATCGCAAAGAACCTTTTTCAGAATGTCTAATTATTGTCACTGTATTTGTTGTGTAATGCTAGATTTCCTCTCACTGTGATAAAATTGAAGCTAAAGGAGGCCTTCAGCTGCTACAGAGGATATACCAGCTACGTAAAGATTCAGCAAAAATACAACGGAACATCATTCGCATTATTGGAAATATGGCTTTGGATGAACGTCTCCATTCATCCATAGTACGTGCAGGTAAAAGGAAAGCAAGTGCCAGCAGTCTAAATGTCAGGTTTCTATTCTAAAATTTTCAGAGGATCCGCTGCTTTTGTAAAAGGCAAAGGACCATGGTAGTGGTGTTGGTTTTGTATTTGGGAAGGTAGGGAGGCTGTGCATTTTTTTAATACAAAAAATATAGACAGTTTAGATGGTGTTGATTGAAAACTCCTGTATGCTGTCTAGCCAATATATGTCAGTGCTACAGAGGTGCTTGAAGTCTGATGGATGGTGAAAATTTGGACTTGGTTGATGTTTGGTTCACATTACTGGCAGAAATCTTTTTAGTTTCCTACTCCTGTCCTACAGATCACCTACCTTGTAGACTTTTTTTTTAATTGTCTGTGTTTTAGTCTTGTGAAGGAACAGACCAGCTTGCAGTCCTTGATTTTAGGAGCAAAGTGAAACATGCCTTCCCACCCTCCCTTGCTTAGTATTAAGCTAGTAACTTCTGCTAAGCTTTGCTCTGATGCCCCTTCTTTAATACCACCCAAATATCACAATGAAAGTTCTGTACCAAATAAATAATTACCAATGTGTTATTAGGAAAGAAATAAAAATAAAATATATCGATATGCTGTTGTATATGTGTGCCTCTTAAACACAGTGTGCATTTTTAATCTCCCTGTTGCAAAAATAAGTAACAAAGGCACAGGGAAAGACTGTGAGAGCGATGAAAAATTTGGAATGGCTGTGGTATAAAGCACAAATAACTAGACTAAGACACTTAGTATGGAAAAAGCAACTGAAGGAGAATATGACAGAGATTTTTGAAGTCCTTAGTGGCATAGAGAAGGCAAGGAGGGAGTGATCATCTGCTGTTTTCTCATAGTGCAAGACCAAAGGTTCTTGTACATTAAATTATCAAGAGGCAGAACAAATTAATATTTTTTTTTTTCATACAGTACATGGCCAAACTAAAACTTGCTACAAAACATTGTGATTGTTGAAAACTTACAAAGCTTGAAAAAGTGACTAGACAAATTCATGGAAGGAAAAATCCGTCAAGCTCTACACACAGAAGCCGAGTTGGTTACAGAAAACTGAGAGGATGTAGTGGAGAATCAGCACTATATACTTGCCCTGTTATTGCTCTATTCTTTTATTGTTCAACAACGTCCCTTACTGCTCACTTTTGGAGAAGGACAGCTGGACTACAAAGGTCTTTGGTCTGAGGTCTAGCACGATTCTTACTTTCTTATGATTACTGCTAAAACCATACATGTAGAGGAAGAGATTGTAACAGAAGAGTCAGCAGCTCCCTGGGTCAAAGCTCTCAGTACAAATGGAATTTTAGATGGTGAACCAGACTCCACAGATGAGCAGTTGGATACTGCTGGTCAAGAGCTGATGATACTGCTCTCTTGTTATTGGATGATGCATAAGAAGAAAGAACCTCTAAGGTTCTTTCTTTCCTTTGCAAAAAATGTTGGCACAGGAAGAGGAAGAAAAGCCATGATGCACTGTGTAGTAGCTGTCATGGAGTATCTGGGGGCAGAAGGATCCTGAACACTATTTTTGAGTTTATTTTGGCTCTTTTAAGAGAAGTGCAGAACCAGAGACCTTACTGGTTTTAATCAGACTAGTGTGGCAGTCTTTCATTGTATTTGGAGAACTGAAAATAGATTTTAGATAGCGTCCTTCTTAAGGAGAACTTGCACAGTGGTCAACTTATATTCTGCTTAGAAATGTAATTTATATACATAATTATTTAAAAAAATACAATTCTCAAAGGTGCTTGCATTTAAACAAAACTCATATGCCAGTTAATTCTTTTCCTCAGTCCACAGTGAACTGACTACCTTGGACTAGCAACTTACTGGCTATATTAATAGCAACATGTTGTGCATGATTTTGAAACAGTGCTCATGAAGTAAATTGTTTCTTCTTTTTCAAATCAGCCTCCATTTGAAAATGTCTCTTCAAAGTCTTCTCAGGTTTTATTTATGAACTTGACTTTAATGTAATTGTGATTTATAGGCCACTCTTGCTAGCAGCAACAAGATTTATCAGGGTTTTAAAGAAATATGTGTGTATGTGCGTGTTCCTTTGCATTTCTCAGTAGTCTGTGAACATCCCCATCCGTGTCTAAGGAGCTCTATTTTACGCCTTAGGTAAAGTATTATAAAGTGTCCATTTTTTCTTGAAGTAGCTATGACTTAAAATTTGATTGAGGATTGTATCAAAGGTTTCCTTCATTAATTAATTCTCTTATATTTCTTAGGTATACATAGTATACTGTTCTGAGAATAGCCAAGATGTTTTAATTCCTTAAATAGTTTTTCACCACTGAATTTTAAAATTACAAATGGTTGTACTGTCACTGCAAGCATCAATTTCTCCACCTGCCATTACTCCTATGGGTTGTTTTCCATGTCTGTCTTACGCTTTAAGCTTCATTTTGTCTCTAGGACATTTATTTCCTCTTATCTTTCTTACATCTTACCTGCCAAAAGAGACTTGTGATCTGTTCGCTCTCTAACAACTGCACTGACCTGCTGATACACTTCATTTTTCTTCTGAGAAGGGATTCTCCTTCAGATCATAAGCTGTACAGTAGTAAATACATTGTCTCCTTGCCACTCTGGATTTTTTAGTTTTGGAAGTTCCACTTATCTAGCATTGGCTTTCCTGTGGTAAACAGAGTGGATTGGAATAATTTGGTTTGATGTTACCATTCTTAGGTTTTAACATCTGTTTTCACAAGTATAGTTTGAAGAATGATGTTTCTGAATTCTTTTGTTTGGATGATGTTTCTAATTCATTAACCCACCACTTTATTTTTTCAATGCAGGCTGGGTTTCTGCACTTGCTGAAGTAATGAAATCCCCCCACGTCATTCAGTCTTCTCATGCATCCAGAGCTTTGGCTAATCTAGACAGGGACACAGTGAAAGAAAAGTATCCAGATGGTGTTTATGTCTTACATCCACAATATCGTAGCAGGTAAAGCAGAAGGAGGTATTGCACATGCTGTACTTCGAGTTACTTGTTATACTGTTCAGTTACAAAACTTTGGAAGAGTTGACATCAGAGTGCTGCTATACTGATGTCACCTGCTCCTCCTGTTCTTTGGTGGGTTGAGAGCACTGAACTTAGATGCTCAAACAGGAGAACAACAGAAGTGGTCAGAGCAGTCCATAACCATGAGAGGAGTATTATTGTACTGCATGGGAAAATCCAAACACGAACCATGAGATGAATTACTGCTTTGCATGCGTTGCAACCACTTAACCCTTGCACTGGCTGTCCTGGGATACAGTGCCTTGTAATTATTCTGCCAGCAGCAGCACCTGTTGGCCTAAGATGCAGTAAATCTACAGCTTCAGCTTCTTTTAATAGTGATTGTGTACCTGGGACTGAAGTGTGGTATGTCACTTAGTAGCATCTACTCCCTGGGTCCTTGGTGTTAATCAGTTTACAGCAAAGATTTAATTTGATGATAAAGCTGGAGCTCCCAAGCTGCATTAACAGTAGCTGGAGATAATGGTGGTTTTCATTATAGAAAAATAGACTTGTGAGGTGGGTACTTTCTGTACCTCTTTTTATATCTCTCTCTTCTGGGTGGATCCCTGTGTTTTGTCTTGATCTGAGTATCTTCTTTGGAATGCCATGGAATGTCATTAAATGTTGTCATGATGTCAAGTGTCAAGGAATCGCATGCAGTATTAAAAATAGCATTTTGGCATCCCTTAGGTTAAAACTTCTGTGTAAAGTTAATTTGTTAAAAGAATATGTACCATGCTTCTCTTAAAAATTCCTTTTTTTGTATCAGTCAGCCCATCAGAGCAGACATCCTTTTTGTTCATGGCCTTTTGGGAGCAGCATTTAAAACCTGGCGGCAGCAAGACATTGACCGGCGTTTGGATAAAAAGGCTTCAGAAGAGGAAGAGGACTATAGCCAGTGCTGGCCAAAGGTAAAAAGACAGTAACATTTTCACATGTGGCTGCTGTTTTCTTATTAATGAGAGCTGTCCAGAGAATCTGGAATTACACTGTCTGGCAGTTGTCTTTTTTGAATCAAATTACTTGTAATCTGTTATACAGGTAGTACTTTCCAATATATTTTTGTTAGCAAGCTGAAATTTTGAAGAGGTTGTTCTTGCAAAGGAAAATTCCTG